CGGTGAGTCTCCCGGCAAAAATCATCAATGACAATTACCTGAGGCCGGCTAGAGATTTGACGTTGGTGAGGGATGTGGCTGAGCGCTGGGGGCAGGAGCTCCAGATATCTCTGCAGGGAGGGGATGATTGGTAGTCAGTAGCCAATTGATCCCAGGATCCCATCCAGCTGTGTCTAGAAAGAGGCCAGGTCATTAGCGTTGACAAGGTGGCTGGATAGCTTGTTCCATGCTCCCACCATCTCTTTGAGTAAAGAGGAGCTTCCTGGTTTCACATGCTTGTCCTACGTATTGTCCGCTTGTGTGCTCTGGTTCGTGTTTCACTGTCGGGGCAAGAGACCAGCCCTCTTGTCTCATGATGGGGGACAATGGAGAGCAGCCTGTCAAACCCAGTGTGAGTCTTTCTGGGAGGAAAGCAATGCACCTGGCAAAACCCCAGGAAACTCGTGAAGAACATGCAAACTCCACACAGACAGACACAGCTGGCTAGAACTGAACCCAGAACCCAAATTAACCATTAATTCCATTAACTAACCTTCCATTAACTAACCTTCACACCACCGTGTCCATTTATATGTGTATGTAAATGCTCACACCAGAGAGTGAGGATTCTTCCACCCTCTCACCGTTAAGTGCACACTTTTCAGTGGTGTGTTATTTCCTGACCTCACTCCAGTCTCTAACTAGTTCACCTGTGCTCCTCGTTGAGCCTGCACCTGTCCTTCTTAACACTTTTTTAAAATTAATTCCTCCCATGCCTCCAAAATGTGTTTTTTAAAAAAAAAATAAATCAGGGGTATGCATTTTACAAATCGAATCATTTTCACCTACTTACTCAGGGTTAGGACTTGACGTAATGGCTACTGTTTTTAATTTTATGTGTCTCTGGCACCCGGGGCGCAGACAGCTGAGGATTGGAGAGGTGCCCACCGATGATGTCAGAACGAGTTCAAAGCTTTCCAACCCCCCCCCCCACCGTGCAGCAAGGCACTGTGGGTGACAGACAGTGAACGAGAGGACCCTGCCTGGAACTGGTCCTTAAACTGACGTCCCCTTAACGCCGAATGCAGACGCTGTCTGCAGGGAAGCAAGCGTCGGGCTGTCAGCAGCCTGTGGGCTTCTGTGCAGAGGGGACAGGAAAGCACAGTGAGTGACAGGGAGGTTCGTTAAAAAACACATCATTAACACCTTGCCTGCAGAGCGCTGACACTGTCAAGATAAGCAGGTCGCTGCACCGACGGATCTGTCTCGACATTGCTGGGTGATAAAACTTGTGTGGGAGGAAGGAAAGTAAAGGAATGACTTACCTTCACTTTCCTTTTCATCTACTATTTTTTAAACGAATTCTGTATTTCAGTGTGATTTTTTTTTTAAATTTGCACTTTAGCCCTTATGAAATTACAGTTTGTAAAACCCCTGTATGTTCTTGCTGAAATCCAGCCCGCTCATCTTCTAAGATCACAGCTGCGGCTGAATTATCATCATGTCATACACAGAGTACGGTGATTACTGTGCAGGTACAGTACCGCTTTGTCCTTTGCAAACTACGGTAGAAGTCACAGGTTGCTGTGAGGCATTTCCTTTCCTGTCCAGGAGCCTTTGCTCTCTTTCCCTCCGATTCCATCAGTATTCGCAGACAGACGTGCAGAGCTGGGTCACGAGTCAATCACTCCTGTCAGCAGTGGTGTTTTTCTGGCCAACGTGGGTCTGAAGGACAGGAAAATGAGACCTACTTGTCTGCCTGGCTTCCAGACTTATATTTATAAGCCATAAATCTACCTTTCTCCTTGCAATTTAATCAAACACCTGAAAAGCGTGTGTGTTTTGGTGGGGAGCATTGCAGACTTTTCTGGTTTTGCACACATTTGAAAGCGGTACACACACACCTCATGTCTCTCCGTTTCCCCTCTCTGTTTCTCTCCAATTTAATTCTCCCTCTGTGCAGAATTACAAAGAGTGTTTGCTTGCACTAAGGCGAAGTGAGTCTATTTTCTATTTTCAGCTTCGCCCTCTGTTCAGAAACTTGCAGTCATTCTTTTTCTGTCAAAGCTCTGCCTGTTCCCTGCACTGTGTGTTTGTCAATGGCCCCTGGACTGCGGTGCTGCAAGAGACACAGCTCTTGCCTTACCTTCCAAGGGTGACAGAAGATAAACAGCAGACAGATTTGACTGCAGTAACAGCCGGTTCTTGCATCTGCAAACTACCTAATAATCATAAAAAATACAACTGCTCTTGTAACTCCCAGAATTAGTTATACTTCTCTTTGGTCTTTCTGTTTGTGGTGCAGTCCACTGTTAATTTCTCAAATCCCTATATCTGAAAACAGGTCCCTGTGCCACTAAAGCAAGTGGTCAGTGTTATGCTTTGGCTGTGTTGATTTTTGGAGATCAATGATGAAATGCATCTTTTAAAGAATATAAGAAAGCTTATAAATGTGAGAAACTACCGTAGGTAACTAGTTACCCTTTGGTAGCTAGTAGTTAATTGATCCCAGGATCTTATCCAGCTGCTTCTTGGAAAAAGTCAGGGTAACAAACTGGCTTGGTAGCTTGTTCCAGACTCGCACAATGTTAAAGTTGTTATGTTTTAGCTATGATTTAGCTGGAATCTGTTCTTTAGGAAGAATTGTGTTGCTTAGCCTGTTGGTATTGAATCCCAGACAGGTACCTGGGACTCATTTTCCCCACATGTGTTTATATGTAACCATACATAACTGAGGTTTCAAATAAGAGACTATTAGGCTCATCAAGTTCATTTAGTAGTAACAAATCAATCCAAGGATCTTGTCCGTCTGGTTTCTTGAAATAAGCCAGGGCGTCTTAATTTCAGTGTCATAACTGGGCAGCCCGTTTCAGGTCTCTACAACCCTTTGTGTAAATAGTGATCTCCTGATCTCACTTTTAATTACACTTCAAACGTTCAAGAGAAGCACGTAGATTCTTGGAAAAAAAAAGATTATATAATAGCTGCTATTACTTCCAGTCCGGTCCAAAAAAGTGAAAGGAATCTTTTTTGAAGACGAAAAACAAACTGTTTGAAAATGATACAATTATTTATATACATTACATATAACTGTATGTATACAGTATATGTGAGAGTATGTATGGAAAGATTTAAAGTATATATGTACGCTTATACAACTTTTTGGTTACCTGATTAGAACATGAATGTTTTATGATTAAGCAAACATAGGATTGAAAACTGACTGGTGCTTGCTTAAGCAAAAACTGTGTTAATAGAGCTGGTGCAGGACTTTGCATATCTGATCCCTGGAAGATGGAAAGCTTGTAGATTTACTTGCTGAAAATGAGATTCTTTACAGCTAAACAAACAAATCAGAAAAAAAAGACTTGGAGGGATATCTGAGGCGGCACATGGGATTAGAAAATAGGTCAGACATGCTGGAGGGACATGACAAATTCAGTCAAGGTCATTCAGTGTTGTGGCCAAGCCATGCTGGAAGCCAGTGCCGGGAAGCCAGCACTGGAGTTACAAGAGAACCACGGGTGTGCAGCAACTGAGACTGAGCCCTGACACCCGTCTGCAAAGTTTGCACAGGTGCGCAACATGTAAGCAGGTGAGCAAGGGTGCAGACTGTGACACCACCTCTGGTATCCATCAGCCTAGCTGGAAAACGGTTTCATACTGCAACACAGCGAGGCCTGGGCCAGTTTCTTAAACCCTGCAGAAATCAACTTGTTGTTCGATACAGGTGAGGAAGTCTTCAGCGGAATCCAAGATTCCAGCAGAACTCCAACCAGGATGAGTAATCAATCTTTCGTGAGACGCCTGACAAGAAGTTCTTTTCTTCTTGTTTCAGATTCAACTTGGTAACTGGCAGTAGAAAACAACAACGAGGACCAGACATTTTTCTTGGATTATTAAACATTATACAATCCAATTATTTTTTTTAAACAAAACAGAACGAATCTTCGGGATTCAGATGAAGGTTGATCAATTTAAAGTAACTGTTCAGGGTCTCGTCCCCCAAAATCTTCCACAAAGTCAGAGAAAAGTGTTGTGTCATCAGCATTGGTTTACAAAATGATTGCTCTGGCCTGTCGCTAATTGCCCGATTGATGGTATGTTAATGTTTGCTTTGGAGGAACATGAGAAAGGAGAATAGTTTGTTTAAAGGCATTGGTTTTAAGCGCTTGGTTCTCAATACAAGATTGGTAAATATGGAAAGTGTTGTACAAGGAAAGCAAGCCAAGTATCTAAGTAATGGAGCGTTAGTTTTCTGAATTATTAAACTTCGTGAAATGTCATGTGGAAAATGTAAACTACACACTGCATGTGTACTTTGCCAGGCACTCAAGACACCGAGAATTCAAAGAAAACCAAGCTGTGGAAAGTCTGACTGACTTTAACCACTTATATCCCTAAGTGAATAATACCAAGTGTAATTGCTAATTGCATTCAAACAGGCCACAGCACTGTTCATTTGGCAGTTTTGAAAGGTCCTGCTGTTTGCGGCTCCACCTGAAGGCTTCTCCAGCGCTTCTCAAAGCGTTCCTCAGGGCCAAAGGAGTTCAGACGCTCCAGACACCGGCTTTTGAAAAGTGGTTCTGGCCGGGCTTCTGTGCACCCGACAAGCGTTTCGGGTTTTTCGTCCATCTGACGAGTGAAATAGCTTTGCCGTCACGTCTCCGCACCTCCCCGCTGCCCTCGTTAAAATTATTCTCAGATTCGGGCCTATTTCTGCGTGTGTCTGGGTTGTTTTAACGCCCGCCACCTCTGGGATAGTGCAGCTGACCCCCAGGCGTAGATTACGTCACGAGTCAGAATGCAGGTGTGACCTTTTTAACTCCTTCGCCCCCCGGTTACCACATAGCAAACCAAACAGGGAAATGTGATACTAATATAACAACACGCGTTAATTAACACAGAGTCTTTTAGGGATTTTCCAATAACACAACAGGCTGAAACCACGCAACTGAAAACGCATATTTTGTATAATATGAATTATTCTTTATTTAAATGATATTTTCTGCTCCTTTAAAATTAGGTCACCCATCAGACTTAGGGCTGACGACACGAATAGTATATCCTGATGGCAGTCGTGCAATTTGGTTAATTTTGCAATTTGCCCACTTTCTGCACAGCCTAGACTGTGTGATTGACAGGTCAGCGTTAAAATGCTGGTGGCAGCGCAAGTAAATAACGGCAACACGGGGTGTTAATGAAGGGTCGCTTGTTTTATTACATGTTCAGTCCTCCTGAGAAAAAAATCTCCCTTCTTTCGGGGTCGTTCCACCCTCTGCAAGGAGATTAAAATCGGTTTGTCACGGCCAGTGCTGTAGATCGCCGTGATTGCCCGACTTCCAAATATAGTAAGAAGGCAGGCGGAATAATCACCTTTTACATAGCTGCCCATATCTAGACGGGCGCAAAGGGCTTTGGCGACTTTAATAGCATCGATGTGAAGACCTTTAATTTAGAGGGGGGAGAAATGGCTTCTTCAAACGCGGAGTACGGGAGCGATTCTGCCGCCGAGCTGTGGAGGTTGATAGGCCCCGTCACCGAGCTCTCCAACAAACCGTGCCGGCTGATCTACTCCGAGCTCGGCTACGACTCGGACGTGTGCCTCTTCCACACCAAGGGGGAGTTCCGGGCCATGGACGCCCGGTGCGCGCACTCAGGTCAGTGCATCCGAGCCGGGGAGCCGCTCTCCTGCAGGGTTGAACTGTGCACGGCGGCACAGACCTACTTAGACTAAGGTATATTATTATTACTATTATTAACTGCCCTAGCTAATTCACTCTTCACGATTGAGTGTTAAAGTGCGGAGACGCGAGTGCGATAAAGTTGCCGGTCCCCGGTGATCCACTGACTGGCTGGAAACGCACTGTTTTAATATATAGCGCAACTGAACCTCTTTTGACCAGAGAGAGATGTTTTTAAACACATGACGTTACGTGTGTGTGTATATATACTGTGTAACCGATAGGCTTACATGTCCTGGCGAGAAAGTAACATCGAATGCTGTGTTGGCAGAGTTTTTAAAGTTACTGTTATTGTGTTATGCGGTCCACTAATTTTTACAGAGAATTAAGACGGCTAGCCATTTACAAAATAAATCCTTTTTCGACAGTTACAGTGGGGCTATGCAATAGGTGTCTGAGGAAGTAGGTAATTTACACCAGTAATAGAAGTAACGTTTTACTATTTAAAAAAGTCTACGTATATTTATAACTTGCGGTTTTCGAAGTGGATAACAAGGGCAAATTGGATATGTCGAGCCCGAAGTGATGCGCGTTATATACAGGACCCTTATGCTGGCTCGCCGAAGTGTCTTCAACAAAAAATCACCAACAGCTCGTAAACACCACGCTACAAAAAAAAAAAAAACAAGGCACTTTTATTTTAAATGCAACCATTTTCAAATACCATTCTATCCAGTGGCTCCGCTGGTTTGCTATTAGACTTGAAAGCTGCACGTCAAATTACATGTACAGATTCCAGACCGTTTTATTGCAACTTCCAACAGGAATAATAGCGCCGGTATTCGTCGAGACTCGCCAAAAAACCGTTCCTGCGGTAAGAGGAAAAATGCGGTTGGAGAACGAATATTATGGGACTTTTTCCACTTTCCCTTTAATTCTCTATGAGTGAGGGAGTGAAACAGGCATCTATTGTGGAGTGCTTTTGGGATTAACGGATGCCTGGGTAAAAGTAGGGAGCACGGATAACCCTCATTAACCCCTTTCTTTTCCTAATTCCTTACTCTGACAAAATCCTAGGTAGCATAAATTCCCCCCAGCCTGACTGTGACAGACCAGTGCCCTTGAACTGCTCTCGGAGCAGTGTTGCTCTGTCTTTACATTCAAATTTAATCTTTTAAGGGGAACATAAATCCCATCCATCTGCTTCTGCTTCTTCCAATTCAAGATGGCAGGGGAGCCAGAGTCCATCCCAGCGAGGAATGGGAGCAAAGCAGGATACATCCGGGATGGACACCAGTCCACCGCAGGGCACACACCCACACTCTCACACCAGGGCCACTTTTCCCAGTAGCCAATGAGCCTGCCAGTGTCTTTCCGGACTGTGAGAGGAAACGCATGCCCACACAGCAAGAACATCCAAACTCCACACAGACAGCACTCCAGGCCCTTACCCAGATTACATATATTGCAATATACATTTCGTATAATGTAAAATATATTTAGTTCAAATGTATATCCTTAAGATTCTAATGAAATAGATATTTCCCCCTAATGTATTTTAACAAACATTTTTCCAAATAGTTCAGGTGGGGAGCTGCGTCAGCATGTGTAGGCTGCAAAGGAACAAGTAATAGGTTTATTCCCTGCTGAAGAGAGAAAACGCAACGTTTCAGCCATGGAGCCTTCTTCAGGTGTGAGAAAGACAGGGGCAAATATATGGTGTGTAAGATGTGCAATAATACTGTGTCTCCGTGTCTCCTGACCATATCCAGTTTTTAACCCAGGGCCCCATGCTGATCACTGCCCCGCTGTGTCACAGTCTCTTTGCTTGGGTTAAAAAAGATCTTCCTTTCTTGGTGCTTTATAGAAGCTTTGCCGTTGCCTAACTTTGCTAACCTGTTCTGGTGACCCGGAGAGCCCCCCCCCACATACACACACTCATTAACTCCCCCCCACTGTTGTGCCCTGTCCTTACAGGAGGCCCACTGTGTGAGGGGGATATTGAAGAGGCAGACGGTGTCCTCCGGGTGACCTGTCCGTGGCACGACTATGATTTTAACGTCCGAACAGGGGCGTCCGAGACGGGCTTGCAGGTAAAGATAGTGAAGAGGGGAGAGTGCATGGAACAGGTTGTCTCCATTCACTTGAAACCAACGGGCACTTAGTCCTTCCAGACAGAAATGGAAATATAAGCTTCCCATGACAGTTATGGGGGGTTGTGAGAATGTGTGAAGATCCCTTTTTTAATGATGTTTGCTATAGGCGTTTTTATGAACAGCTAACAGCATAGTTCAAGGTGTTAAAGTAATTTTTTTTTTAGAATTTAATTGCATTAAGACATTGGAGTGGTTGCTGGAGGCTTGTAAAATTTTGTTTGAAAGGTAATATTTTTGGACATTATCGTTTTACACGCAGGTGGGAGAGTTGAATGGGTGTTTTAATCTTTGATTTGTTTTTGTATGTTTTATATATATATAAATGTTCTGTTATTTCAAAATGTATTTATACATTGTGTGTGCTGAGAGACATTCATATCTAACATGATTATTTGAATAAGCATTTGTTTTTTAACCTATCTCAGAATTGTTTACGTATATATTTACACAATGGGATTTTTTTCATGAAATTTAGGAGCAGGGGTATCTGCATTCCCCCCCCCAAGAACTCTAAATAGATTTTGAAAAGTGAGGGTTAAAATAGACCACCTTCAGATTAGTAAAAAAAACAAGAGTCTTAAAATAATAGGAATTACCCAGAATCACATGACCGTAGTATCCTGATTGTCCCTTTCTTCCGTCCTCCTGTCTACCTGTTTATTCCTATGGATGTGGCATGGAAAAGAAAAGGGGAAAAACATATCGGGGAAAATGAACTCCTGTAGCTACGGTGTCTTAAAATAAATAAAAAAAACCCAGACTTTACATGAACCCTGGAAAGTCGCGTGCTCTTGGAGTGACAGCTCCAGATATGGTTCTGTTTTTTATTTATTTTCGTTCATCTTTTTCTGCGTGGAGGTGCTCATTCTAAATTGATTAACGAGATATTCAGCGTGCTCACTGGGGAAAGGGAAGTAATGGGGAAACAACATGCCGGAATTCCAGATCTATTCCCAACCCTCAGAAAGCCTGACAAAGTCAGCCCAGTGAACAAGCTGGGTATGAATAGTGGGACAAAAAGCAGTGCTCCCAAGTGAAAAGGATGTGCAAGTGTATTTAAATAAGAGAACAGGAGGCATATCTTTACACAAAGGGTTGTGGGAGAGTGGAACAAGCTTCCCAGCCAGGTTGTTAAAGCGGATAACCTGGCGTTTTGTTACTTAAACCATGGAAGGAATACTCACCTCTGGCTTGTGTCCGGTCTTACAGAGCTTTTAATGAAAGTTCGGGAGGGATGACAGCAACCGAGTCCAATCAGACTCTGCTGTCAGTAATGAGCAATCAATCCTGACGATGTTTCGTCTCCTAAAACACTGTAAATACTGTAGTGATCCCCTTCTCTCCCTCACACACGTATTTTGCATCCCCCCCTCCATCCCATCTCCCCCTCTGCAGCTGCCCCTTGGTCACCCCTCACTCTTTCCGGGGGGGGGTCTCAGCCTCCTCGTCCTCTGGCCAGGAGGTCAGTCCTCATCCCAGTGGGCTCAGCCCGTTGACTAAAACACTCCACACTCCTTTCAGTGCCCCTAATTTTGGGGTGTTTGTATTCCTAGTGAAATGTCCGTTCTTACACGTCACTTTGCAGCTGTGCGTGTTTCTGATATAGCGCCTTTTTTTTTCTTGACGTTTTGCTACAGCAACGGGTGCACGAGGTGAAGGTGGAGGACGGGTCTGTGTTTGTAAAGCACCAGGGCCAGCTGTCCTTAAAACCCTTCCCTGTGACCTCCGAGGACTGACCCCTGCTGAGCTCTGCAGCGTCTCAGAGCCTCGAGATCTGGATGCTTGTTGATGGAGGCAGCACTGATGGTATATATACCTTATTTATGTTCTTGTTTTTCCGTCGTTTTTTGGGGGGAAAATCGAGATCCTCTGAGACGTTCTCCAGAGTCATTTGTGATTATCACAATCCTGTCCTACTGGGGCACGAGTGAAATTGCTATCAAGAGGCAGGACATGGCATCAGTGCCCTCTTTGTTTTTAAGACTGAGGCGCGACTGGCAGGGAACAAGAAATCGTTTGCATCTGACCTTGATTATAAATTGGAGATGTTCTTTCTGTGGTATTGTGACATAAATTTATGGACGACTACTACCTCGGACATCAAGATAATAGTTCTGTGGTGATCTATCCGTCCATCCTTCCAGAATCAATCAAACCTGGATGAGCAGGAACAACTGTGGTTCGTGTTCTGCAGTCATGGGCGAACTGTGTAAAAAAACAAAACTGGAAGTGAATGCATGAGTGCATAGGATACTATGGAATTCAGCAAAGAGCAATCGGTGAAATATTTACACGGCTGTATTGAGACTGCAGTACTGGGAGATGCAGGTTAGCAATTCTCCAGGATGGTTTCTTTCAGTACTTCATAAATGCCATTATGAGCCTGATTGCACGGTACTGTCAAAGATTAATCAATATGACTGTGCAGACCAACCTTGTGTGTGTCAAGTACATGGTCTCCTTTCCAGATGTGTAATGTGTCTTATAGGGGGTATTCTGACAGAGAGGCGTTCAGTCAGAATTCTACAGATGGCAGCACAACACCACGGAGTCCTCAGTGATCTCTGTGACATAGTTCCTGAGCACTGCCAGATCACTGCTTAAATAGTTCTGAACCACCTGTGGTGGGTGTGGTGGATAATTGCCTCCAGGTGGTACAAGGCTCCTGTCTAATTAATTACCATGGTAACTGGCACTGAATGACAGGTGGCTCACAATACTAACTCTCTCTGCTGCTCTTCCACTTCTACGAGCATGACAGAATATACATAAACAAATACACAGTACAAAGTTTCCCCCGCTACCTAAGAATAATCATAAGGATTTCTGGTAAAACCTATGTATATTTGTTTTTTTGCTGCAGAATCTGTAGCTGCAAGTCCAGAACTCTGCGTACTTGTAAAGTAGCTCTGCTCTACTGCCATGGGCAGTAAGGTTACCTTGGTTCTTGATGAGGTGCAGTGCGGAAATCGGCTTGTGATGTCTAGTTCTTGACCCAGACACTTCCAGGTCTGGCAGAGGTCTTTTCCCACTTTGATTTCTTAAGCTGCCAGATAGAAGCTGGTAATCAGCCTGGCTGCTCATACTTCCTCTCCTCCAGTCGCTGACCCTGTTGAGTGTGTTTATTATAATGGCGTTCCCCCTGCACTGATCTGTGCAGAGCCTTGTTTTAGCACAGGTCTCATGAGTCACTAAATGGCGAGTCATTTTTAGATCCCTTTGAGGAGCGCAGTCACTGTGCGCCGGAATCGTTTTTTCAAATGTGATTTGCTGGCTGGGTAGGTTGAAACGAGCGTGATTTGTTTTTTAGCGCCTGGAGCCTGTTCTAGAATGTAGATTATTGATGGGATAGTGTTGCTCGAGTCCGGCTGTTGAGCTGCAGGAGGACGGGAGTTTTCAGCAGCGCCTGACCTCGTGTTTAACCTGCCCACAAGACAAGCACTGCAAAGCTTGTGCTGCTGTTTGAATTTCAAAATGGCCAGTTCACACACGAGAATGATATTGGCGTTTGTATGGATTTCTGAGATGTGGGCTTTCTGTGACGTTATCGTCACTGATGTTCGTCTTGGGCGTACTGCACAGCCCAGATCTTTCTTTTACATGTCGATTATATAGTTAGACATTGCTGTCTTGATAGAATAATTTCATCTTTTTAGTTTTACAACGGTGCAATGAAATACCTCCCATTTGTGGTGTAGACTGTTGATTCTCTAATAAAGACATTTTTTAAAGACTTCAGTTCCCTTTTCTGTTGCTTTACGGAAGGTTTTCAGCAGCTTAATCAAAAGGTGGCACCAGTTTCTGGGAAAGGTCAAGTCAGGTCAGGTCATTCGCCAGTTATTGTCTGTCTGTATGCCAGTCCCGTTTGAAATGTTTGTCAGCTTGAGTGATGACTCTGTGCACTTTCCTCTGGAAGGTGTGCTGCTGAGGCTCATAGCCCTTTGTCACTCTACGAATCCCACAGTGCCTGCAGAACAATTTTGCATCAACTGGAGGGTCGGTGATGCAACAGCCCGACAGGTGACTAATAACCCATGACAGCCCAGCCCCCTAGAGAGCTTGGCCGATTGTGTCAGAACACTTGTAAAGTTGGGGCCTTGCTAATTACAGATGACAAACGGGGCTCAGCCTGTGGTCCAGAAAAAACAAGCCTGCATTCACTGAGCTCATCGGTAGCACCTACGCCCTCCTCTGTGTTCTGTTCACTGTTTCTGTTATGGTTCCTGGATGCATCTCAAAACAAGCTTTGGAATGGAGGCATTCTTCAAAAGTATACAACATGGCTTTATTTACAAGATCATCCATGATAACATAATGCACA